TACAGTTGATACTTATTTCACAATAAAGTTTCTTGTTGTTGTTGTATCATGTAGTCATTGCAGATGATACTATTTTTCATATCACTAGGCACATGTAGTCATAGACTGCCTATTTTTATGAACGTTGTTAAGGCTTTCGCTCGCTAAGAACTATGGGTAAATGTACCGGTCGCCATCCTTTTTCCTACGGGAGGATTGATATAATAGACTGATATCCATATACGTTATTTCTGACCAGAAGAGCGAAATAAATATTTTGTCGGCTCGTAATATGGCAGGGCCTGAGCACTTGGCCAGGGGCAACTCAGATAGTGATGCTGTGGTACATAATGTTGGGTCATTAGAGAACCGCTAAGTCCGCTAAATTTTTATCGTATTATTTTTGCTCATCTCATTCTCTTTTAAGAGATCGAAGTTTTTTTTCCCGTGTTAAGTCTCGCAGGGAGGGCTTCTTACTATTTCGAGCTCGAGCTTGAGTCTTGAGTCCTACCCGCATTTCCTGCATATTTTTGTTCCAAGGGTTAGTTTTTGGGCGGGTTTTATTTTATGGCCTTCGTTCAAAATTAGGTTTTTGTGGAGTATATTACCTAGTTCGAAGGTATGTGATCCCGAATTGTCGTTACTTTGTGAATATTTTCTGTACAGATCACAAGTGACTCGGGAAAATAGGGTTCCAACCTCTGTACTAACTGGCCAGGAAACATAAATCAAGATTGTCCTCGAAAAAAAAATAGATCATTGTAGAAGGATATGGTGATGTAAAGGAGCTATAATTTCAACCGAATCGTACTGTTCGCCAGCTTAACTGGCAACTTAACTCAGTGGTACTGAACCTGCGTGCGTACATGTACAGTTGAGGATGTCTGAATGTAAGCTATGACTGACGTAATGTGTCAGATATAGTTCCGCAGGCAAAATGGTACTAAGCCTGTGTGCTTACTTCGGGATGTTTGCAAAAGTGATCTGTAATGTCAGAGTGTAGTTTTCCAACTTAGCCGACAGTGGTTAAGTCTAACTTAGCCTGTCTGCTTACTTGGGAATGTAGGTTACGTTAAAATCGACCTGCGATAAGAGTTTCTGTTTTTAGTAAGTAAGTACGTAAGTAAGTAAGTAACAACTTTATTTACAGAGGGTGACACATAACAGTAAAAAACTGACGAACCAGTAGCCCTCTATCCTAAGTGGCCGGCTAGTCCCCGGACAAACGTTCAACGCAATCGAGTTGAACTTTGTAAACTGTTTATAATTTATCTAAAATGAAAGAAAAAAGTGTATCGAGACAACTGCGAAAAATACCTGTTCTTCCAACTTCCATTTATGATGTTCGATTTCCTTGAGCTTCGTGTGTTTGATTTCTTCCACTTTCCTCTTCATCTCGTCTCTTTCCCTAGTTTTGTCTTTTTGAATCGGAAAAATCTTGAGGATTTTCATCGCTACAGCGAGAAGGTAGGTGACAAATGTTGCTATGGAAACGTTCCCAGTTCTCTGGATTTTGGCAGCGAAAAGGTGAGCGAGATCCAACCAATTTGGTGGATCTTCAAACACCCTTTCCCGCTGTTGTCGCTGTTGTTGTGAAAATGCAGGCCATCGTTGATCTTCACTTTCTTGCAACGGAAATGGATATGGTTTGTCAAGCGACCCTTCTATTGGCAAACCTTTAGAATCCATGGCTTTTTTCACAGACAGCAATTCTTGTTGAATTGTCCTGTTGATCTGAAGTAAGCCTTCATGTCAGAGGCGAAATGTTTTTGGAATGGTACCGGAAATCTGAAACTGATTTTCTGAGGCTACGTCTAGTAATACTGAATTACCTGTGCAAATCACTTCTGACTACTAAGGCTAGAGTAAAGTCTTGTATTCCGGGATCTGATACCAGGTAAGCCCCAAGCTATTAGGAAACATGAAAGAAAAAAATATACAAATTAACCTGCATAAAAATACAGAAAAAAACCGACGTTTCAACTATTAACTGTCTTTTATAGCTGTTCAGATCAAAACCGGCAGTTCACTTTTCAAAACAGTTGCACTGCTTTCCATAATTTGATATTCAATACCGTCTTTCTCGTGAACTAATCGAAGTAGCCTCTGGCGGATTGCATACGGCTGGTTTGCCTGAAATTTGGAAATCAGGATTCAGAAGGTGGGAGAAACTGTACTGTCCTGGCGTTAATGTATGTTAACAGGAAAGGCATTGCAGTTGGGCCGTTGGGGACGGCACTGAATATTCACGAAAAGGGATTTATAATTCCAAAACCACATCAGATTGTAAAAAGTGAAAAATATTAAACATTTTGCGTCTCCAAGTTTTTAATTTGGGGCCAAAAATGTTTTTCCTGCGTACAGCAACTCGCTCGTAGATCGTCGAGAGTCGCCAGTTAGCAAAATAGCTGTGTTATTTTGAACAAATTAAATATGTTGTTCCTTGTCAAATTAAACCCAGAATTCTCGAGTTAAGTCATAGTGATAAGAAGAGTCCAAAGTAACTTAAGCATTATCTCTATTTTTGTTAGCTGCGAGCAATGAAAAAGACTACTCAGTATCGTATCGTCTCGGTAGGACAGTTAGGATTTGATAGGCGATCGTACTGCGGGCGCAGTCGCCGTATGCAAGGACATCAGCTTCCGACCGCTGGTTATTCGCAATCATATGTCTTTTATCATGTGTTCAGATGGACTTGGTCTGTTTGTATTTTGGAGAAAACATTCCTGTCTGGAGAATAAAAACACTTAGCAAACTGCGAGCACCAGTAAACATCAGGCTGGCGCGGACAACACGTTTTCCTACTGCGCTTGCGCAGTAGTGTACCACGATACAATAGTTTACATATGTAAACATGGCGGCTGGGACTGTCAAGAGAGTCTGTAGCGCCAAAACGATACGTAACCGATACGTCGACGAGGTCTTTTTATCAGGCTTTTATCCTGAAAGATACAAGTACAAAAACAAACGACGAGAAACTTTATGTCGTTGTGACAGCACCAGACAAGATTGCAAAGCAAGCGAACATTCATTACGGATCATTACGTGGGATACAGTGAACAGATCGATGAGATAGTGGGGTTCATGCGGTTCAGAGGCTAACAACCTTTTTCAGCGAATGAAATCCCTTCCTCTTCCGTCTTCTCCTTCGCTGGAAGACGGTATGGAATAGTAGTTCATGGAGATTTGTATCGGGAAATAAAGAGGAAACTGTATTCTGGCCGAAAGGACGACCCAGTCACTCGTGTAGAAGTTCGGGTCAATTAGGATGTATTTGATGCAAGATTAGTGTTAGCAGGGAAGTTAAGCAAAGAATGGGAAAAGACTGTACATGTTTATAGAATTGATTCGAACCAGACGTTAAACCCGGCCATGATATACTAAGATTGTGGAGAAAGGCAGACTTTCAGCGCTTTCGATGTACCTCTTAGTCAGTGCTGGTCGTAGGACTGGTTGCCTGCTTATTAGAGCCATTAACGAAAGAAAGTCACACAGCAACTACGACAACTAACGAAGATCTTTACTGTGCTTGAAGAGGCCTCGTTCTTCAACGACGGGAACTTCTGAGCTTGCGGAAAACTTGTTTTAATTACTTTTAGCACCATCGATCCTGTTTAATTTTGAGAAAACTGAAAAGCTTATTAGCTAAACTAGTTAGATCTGGATAGACTAAACACATCAATGCATAAATTTTGTTCCTAGATAGAGAGGGGTTAGTGTTCAAGAGGTCTGTAGGGTTTTATAGCCTGTGTATATCTTGAACAAACATTCTACAAGTTTTCAAAGATGTAGCAGCAGTATTAAAATTTCCGAGAAATGAATCACGTACCTTTGCGCCACATAATCGTTTTGCCGAGGCCAATAAAATTCCCATTAATTAGAACTAAAAGTCCTCCGTCGAGTTATTTACTGTAATTTTCATTGAAAAAGGACAAAATTTTCTCCTCGATGATCGAAAAATAATTAAATTCGCAAATTTGCAAAAATATGTAACACTGAGATGGCCTGATTAGATTTCCACGAAAAACCGGACGTGAATAGTTGAAAACTGAATAGAAAACTTCAACTCTGTGTAAGCGCCTCGTTAATTTCGCTTTCACCTCTACTTTTAAACTCTCATTTTAGAAATATCTTTTGGTATACTGAGCAAAACCTAGACAATTTTAAATTCACAAATGAAAATATACAACCAGCAGCCGTATCTCGTAGTATTTTGGTATCGAATATTTGAGTCTCGTTAACCTAAAAGAGTTATTTTCCACGGTACGTTTCCCAGGAACATAAGCCTAATCGCAATGTTTTGCATCAATATTCTCCGAGCGTGGAATTATATTTTTAAGCTTAAGTTTGTCTCTGCGTTGTTTTCTCTGCACAATACCAAGGAAGCTACACATTTTAAGCATAGAGCTGAGTTCTCGTTTTAAAATTGCGAATGAAGAGATCTCAGAGCCGGAAATGGTTCTCAAGTTTCTAGCGGTTTCACTTTGACCTTAACTCTTACTAAAATCATAAATTTTCCTTTACGAAATAAAACTAACAAAAGCCGCTAAGACTACTAGACAAGAACGTCACTTCCAGGCGATAAACAAAGTTTATAAGTATGACCTGGCTTGAGGCCGAATATCAGTCGATAACCCACGACAGACAATACGTAGGTCCTGCATGACTGAAACAGAGCTAAACTGGAGTTTTCTTCGAAATATCTAACTTGGAAACAGATAGCAAAGCACTGTACATTGTTAAGTAATATTTACCTTTTTATCCCAATGAAATAAAAAGAGCCAAGTGTTCTTTGACCCCTTTCTGAGCTTCCAATCCAATGTGGTCATATACTCAGTTCGGGCTGGCAAAAATGCTTCGCTTAGCATTTATCACTACGATAATTTATGCAGGCATAAATTGTCTGAGGCAGCTTATTGTGGACTGCAGCACGTGATCATCAGGTAATATATATAGTACATTACTGTATTATGAGTGGGCGTCAAGTTCAAACTTCCAAGAAATCCCGCAAGAAAATTGAAGTGGATCCCAGAAAAGAACTCACTGAGGACTATACATTGATATAAAGCCAGTCAGCCTTAAGACACTAATTGAAATAATTCAAGACACTGTGGCATTGTTGTGAGGACATTCGCAGGTGGACTAGGCGTCATAAGTGTGTTGAGTTTGTTGTTGGTTCTCTCCTTGTTCCGAGGGCTTTTCTCCGGGTTCTCCGGTTGTCCTTCTTGCCAACCAACACTTTTAAATTACAATTCGATCTGAACAGGAACGAAGATCTCGCTCTCCGTAGCATGTGCCACTGCAAATTTACTGATTTACCTATTTATTTATTTATTTGCGTTCGACAGAACGCAGTTCTAATCAGGCAATGGAGGGAAATCGAGTTTTCCTGTATGTATCTATGGACAACAATTCAACCCCCTCAAAAAAATATTCAGGGACGAACGACGTCATCTCCATGTTCGTCCATGTGCTTTCTTTCGAGTGTTGTGCAATATTGCGGACTTTCGAGTGTCGAGGCAGCTTATTGTGGACTGTAGCGGACAAGTTGTTTCAGTTTAAAGCTTGATTTGGGTTTAATGGCATTTAAACACCTTGCAGACATGTCTTCACGAAACGTGTACGACTTTTCGTACGAACAGAAAGCTAGGGGTGGCGAATTTTCCTTCAAAAGCTCTGGGTCTCGTAAACTTTTAGTCGAATTTCACAGGTCTCGCAGTCTCGTTTTTTAGCGGTTATGTGCGTCTCGCAGTCTCGATTTTTCTACGAAGCTGTCTCGGAGTCTCGATTTTTCGCACGGCTGAGGGTCTCGAAGTCCCAATTCGTTCCTTTATCTGTTTTTATAAATTACGTCTTCTCTTCACTTGATATGGAATTTCAATGAAGCAACTTACAAATTTTCTGAGAAAAAGTTAACCCTAACTTCTCCTAATTGTCTTAATTCCACAAAAAGGTACAAAACCTACCGCAACGTCCGTTTTGGCGCTAGAAAAACAGTTATTTTTCTCTAGGATATCATAACGTAGTGTGTTATAATCGCATTTCCAGTTCCAGTCAGTTCCAAGAAGCTGGCTAAAGACTGTACAAGCTCATTCTACCTCTCAACTAAATCTGGGGCTCGAATTTTAAGAATCTGAACATCTCGCGCCCGTACTAAAAACACTTTGAAGTCTCGGTCTCGCGATCTAAAAAGTCAAAATGTCTCGGGCTCGCAAAGAAAAATGCTTGTCTCTGCATCTCGCAAAGTCTCGCATTTACCATTCGCCACCCCTAAAGCTGTAGTTCGGCTGCGTGTTGTGTACCCTCTTCTATTCGACCAAAATCAACACTGCTTTCTGCTGAACTGAATAAATCAAAGAAGGAAATGCGTAGTTTCACTTCGCTGGCCTAGCCGAGATTTCCGTGCCCAACATAAACCCAACGAAAGTGTTTACATAGGAAAAGAGTTCAACTCCCACAGGATTATTTTGGTACACCAACATGTCCTCTGTTTCATTGTTTCGGAAGAGAAAATGATCAATAGCTGTTCCTCCGAAGCCACGGCGATTCAAAGACAGAATAATTGTCCTAGTTTGCATGATGAAAGCACGTCTTCTCGCACACCCACGGAACAGGCAACGTTTGTGTCGATTTACACGCTCCAGAATCGTAGGGTTCCGGTCATTAACCTCGAACGTCCGGTCTGTATACGAAAATCTCAAACTTCCGCCTTGAGATTTTCTGTAAAAGACCTCATTCTAGGTCCAAAAGTAGTTACTACGCTACCATGGCCTTTGATGGACTCTTTCCCTCTCACAATCAGGGGCAAAATTTATGTACGATGACATTGACTTCCTTAATGGATTTGTGCGGTACATTACGTTTAGAAACTAATCGAGGGGTTAGATGTTGCCTTAGAAAGACTAAGACCGAAAATTCCACTGCTTTACTTTCATATATGTCTTGCAGGGAAGTGAAAATGTGATCGCATAATGTTCACATCCAAACGTCACATAACTCAAACTCTGAAATGAAATTATCGCCGGGCAAAGCCCCAGAGAAAATCCTCCTTGTCGAACCGAATGATTCGGTCTGAGATTAATAATCCTAACTTCTATTTTTAAATATTTTCCCATGCATATTTTTTGCATTAATTCTACACCATAAAACAACATATCATAAGTACTTTATCGATATCACCCCGGGTCGCTTGTTCTGCTTGTTAATTTCTCAGAACCAATGACAACATGCATTTTCCTAGAAACGATTGTTTGTGTCTTCCTATTTGTTTCAACTCCTCTAACTTAGCAACTTCCATTATAACTCAGTCCTAGTGTTGGGGCAAACACAGTTACAACTGGTTCCTTGCGCTCAAGTGAAACTGAGTTTCAACCGATCGCGGTCGGCAGCTGTCGGCGCAGGTTTGGTGATCAAAGGCGTAGATCATGCATGTCAGAACAGGAAAGGAGCTGGGAATTCGATCGAAATATCTCCATTTTTCCTGATGCCGCACTGACCTTCGCAGAAGAACATCGCTCAAATGGCTTGAAAAAGACAGAAGAGGATCGACGCCAGGTTTTGACGCCTGATGTTTCAGCTTTTTAAAGGATAACAGTAGGCTTCTACCGGATTCGAAATCCATACTAAAACTATTCCATAGACCTGTGGTGCAGCTGTTGGCTGAGTTTCCACGAAATGGGGGCTACACGTAAGTGAGACATTTTTTTCCGATATGAGTAAATGCCTAATACGAATTGATTATCCAAACTTCAAACTGTTTATAGGTCTAGTTTAACTAGGATATGTTGTTTAAGGCTTACGTTTTTTGAATGATTCGTAAAAATACATCCAATCTTAATTGAATGCCACAATCGAATATCATTTCTGTAAAACTGATCCATATCAACCTTTCCAA